GAACATGCTCTCACCACCGAAACTCATTCCATGGAACGCATTAACGGACAGATTTTCATACATCATCCTGCCAATTTCAGCAACGACATCTATGACAAAACGGCACATTCTCTCGTCGGTCGCAAAACTTTTTGACTCGGCAGGATAACTATCGTCAGTTATGATATGAGCAAACATTATAACTCAAGAATTTTGGTTGGCATTGACTAGGATGAATGCGCAAAGCCCAGTTCATTGGTAAAATGGCAAAAGTTTACTCGAAACTTGCCAGCCATTTCAGACATCGCAATTCCAATTTTACTCTGGGACAGGATACCCAAATCCATGGGTTCTGTGACGCCTCCTGCATATATGTACAGGCAAAAGGAAATACTCATGCAACATAACCCCGCTGTTCTAGGCACACGTGGTTGCAAACCCCAAGACTTAGCTACCAATTCCCTCTGAGCAAAGTGGCTCGTACACTACATCGAATCTTTACCTAATTCAAAGGCAAGCAGTGCCTCTCCGCCAGAAAAGCGTAAAGTTTGGGCCTTTCATGCGGTCGAAGAAGAACCCGAGTTTCTTGATCGAATCATTTCCCTCCATCCAGCAATTTGCGTGACTGCGTACATGTTTCGTTTCGTGAACAATGTCCAGAATAAATCAAAAATGCAACCAATAACTATCTTGCCATATCTGATCCATGCTGAATGCGAATTCGCCTAATCGAAGTATCACAATATCGCTATTTTCCCAGGAAAAAAGACGCTTTACAAAACAAAAAGCCAATTGACAAAAAGATTTACTCCTCAATCTTAATTTAGTTCTGGATAAAAACGGACTTATCCGTGTCAATGGCAGACTAGCGCATGCCACACTCGGCTATTATGAGCGACACCCAATCATCATCTCGAATTCATAAAGATATTGTCATATTTGAAGTTGCTCCATCCAGAAGCGCAATACTTTATCCCGAAACTAGAGCCTGTAATCAAAAATGCATTTCTCAATACAAAACTTGCACTCCCCATAAGCCCCAGCTAATGGCCACTCTACCCCCAGAGCGGTGCATAACGTCACTACCATTTTGTACAACTGTAGTGGATCTCACAGGGCCGTTTTTAATAACGGCCTCAGTTCTGAGATTCACAACACTCATCAAAGGGTAAGTTGCCGTATTTTTAACCCGATCTGGGGGTAGGCGAGGTTTTCCCGCCAAAATGATGAACGATAACAGAGAGCAACTGAGCGCAAATTCGTGAAATTCCATAACGAATTTTCAGTAGACATTACCCCGAAGTATGCTCCCCAAGGCTTCAATTGGCAATATATATCACTCAGCGCCACATATCTGCGGCTTGTGGGAATCCGCAGTGAAGAATTTTAAATTCATTTCAAGAACACCTCTGCATCCCACCATCTTACGTTTAAAAAGGTCACGACACTCATAACTCGAAATGAGGCTGAACACAATGCTCAGCCACTTTTGGCATTTACACAGAACCCATCACTTCGAAAATAAGCAACGTTCGCTAGAAGCACAACAATAAAGCGAAATCCTCCTCTCAATCAGACATATCTAATTTTTATTTGCACACGGCCGATTGTACCTTTTTTCATTCCCAGACGGAGGACAACGAAGGCAACGCGCAGAGCAGTCCCCCTCGCGGCAACAGCAGATGCCCAGAACAGCCTACAATGTCGGCTGTACCACCGCTACCACGCCTTACGCAATTGCCCCGCCCTACAGGCAATGCGTCCTCGTCAATGCATTGTGGTAATCAATGCGCGAGTATGCTGCGGCAACTGTTTGGCACTCATCCACGTCACGGAAGAGTGAGACTCCCAGTCAAAATGCAGACGATGAAAAAGGACGCATCACACCATGCTACATCCGCCAGATATCAATAGCACCAGCCGAAAGCAAACAAAGGTCACGCTCAATACCGCATAAGTCCACCGGACTAGACACCAAGGGATTTAGGAACCGCACGCCGAAAGCTGATATCGGAGAAGCCATCCACGCCCTAAAAAACTACAGAACGCACTGTCCAACGCGTTCCTAGAGGGAAGGAAGGATGTTTAAACGCCCAACGTAAAACATTAATGCAAATGCAGGGCACACCAACTTTCGCTTTCCCATTCTTCCATGTTTCCTTTCACGCGGCTATCATTCTTTCCGTTTATAGCCTAGTTTGTTAGCCGAACTATCGTTTAACCGCGGTAGTCCAAGCAACCAAAAAACGGTATGATTTTACTAGACAAAAGAAAGGAAGAGACTGAGATGCGTGAGTATAAAAAGCTTGAGAAGCTGGCCTAAAAGCTTAACGCTCGCAAATTCTATGAAAACATATCACTGATTACGGACTGTTTCAAGACCCGAGTAGATCCTTGTAGGACACAAAGAGGTGATCTAGCCACCGTTTTCCAGATTTTTTTGAATTTACGGAGGGAACACTTCTCCAGCCTGCAGTGAAAATCGAGAATCCGGAGATGGTGAACCCGAAACTCCAATCGATGACGATGGAAAAGACGATCCATTACTTGACCATGATTCGAACTGCTATTAGCAACCGCCCGTTTAAAAAACAGCAAAGCGGTGGGAGCTAACGGCCTACCGGCAAAACTATTCAAACATGGCGGTGAAGAGCTGAAAAGTTGCATGCATCAGCTTTTTTGGGAAATATAGTCCGACGAAAGCATGCCCGACGATTGGAACTTAAGCGTACTCTGCCCAAACCATAAATCTATAAAATCCGCCCCTCAGTCTGCGTAAATTATCATGGGACAAGCCTCCTTAATAACCATACCAGTGTGTCCTCAGATCTAGTAAGTCAACCATTGGCCAGATATTCATCATGCGCCAAATCTTGTAAAAGACCCATGAAAAGAGGATATACACCCACGACCATCACACTGACATTATTGGCCTCAACAAGCGCGCCGCTAGTTCTGCTTTCTCCAGACTGGATAAGGAAGCGAAGGGTATGTGTCTGGTAGTGAATTAAGCAAGACGAAATATCTCCTGTCATATAATACACAGTCATCGCATTCGCGACTCGGCTTCCATGTCACTATTGACAGATGACAGACTTAACTTTGAAGTCTGAGATAACTTCATCTATCTAGGAGCCAGTATTAACCAATAATAACGTCAGTCTTGAAATGCAACGCGGAATCATTCTTCCCAACAGGTGCTACTTTGGACTGAGTACGCAATTGAAAAGTAAAGTCTTCTCCAGACGAACGAAACCCAAACTCTACAAATCCCTCATCGTTCCCATACTGCTGTATGGTGCGGAAGCATGGACCATGGCAACATCTGACGAGTCGGCGTTAGGAGTTTTCCATAGAAAAGTTTTTCTTAAGATTTATGGTACCTTTCGGATTGGCAACGGCGAATATCATAGACGATCAAACAATGAGCTGTACGAGTTATACGGCGAGATTTATATAGTTCAACGAACCAAGAAGCAGCGGTTTCTCTGGCTAGGTCATGTGATCCGGATAGATACGAATACTCCAGCTTTAAAAAGTTTCGATGCAGTACCCGTCGGTGGCAGCATATGAAGAGGAAGACCTCCACTCCATTGGAAAGGTCAGGTAGAGAAGCACCTGGCTGGCGCAATGTTGTTAACTTGGCTATAACCGCGTAAGCGTTGTCTACGTCCTGTACTACTGTACTTTACCAGTATATTTACACTTTTTTAAAATAAACTTTTAAGTATCACATTCGATCAAACAAGTGAAATATGTTTTGTTAATTTGGAAAGAATCTCTCTTCATAAACCAAAATAATCATCTGATGCTATAACAAGGAACCTTATTTTGAATAAATGCTGCTGCAGGAACTACTGAAATGTCTTTAAGTCGATATTCTTCCTGGAAGAGGTCCTAATAGGTCCATATGAATGGGTTTAAATCGTTCAAAAGGATTGTTTATCTTTTCAACTGGAATTTTTTTTACTTAATAGTTTTAGATTTTTGAAAATTCATAAGACTCATTATCAAACTGTATATGTACCTACCTATCTTTACCAAACTTTACCAAACTGTTTAATACCCACTCTGTACTCTCATTAAATATGTTACTTACCTTAAATACTCACCTGAAATCCTATATTTCTTCTTCTTCGTTACGTGTGCATACAGTTTTTTTTTTAAAGTGAAAATGAACATAAACTATTATTAAAAATACATAATTTGCATTCGGTTGATATTACTAAAACTAACCAGTTGTGAACTCTTTATAATATTTAATCTCAATTTTGCAAACAAAGAAAAATAAATAGTTCGGTTTTGCAAAATTTAAAGTAAGCGCATTTTATTTAAACTGAACATTTATCATGTTGCCGAAACCCAGTCATGCATTTAACTAAATAAATAAAAATAAAGTTAGTTGAATCAAGTAACAAAAAAAAAATTCTCTTGTTGTTAACGAAAATAAAGTAAAGTGAAGTGAAGTGAAGTGAAAAAAATCACATATACATACAACTTATACATGCAAGGAAAAAAATATTCATACATACGCTTTGTAACCACTGAAGCGTTTTCGGCCGAGCTCCTCCTCCAACTTGTGGTTTTGCGTCTTGATGTTTTTCCAAGAAATGGAGGGATCTACAGTTTGCAGAGGGGCGACCGCAGTTAGAAAATCTAACTTTTTAAATTAATTTTCTATAATTTTTTTATATTGGTCGCACGTGGATTTGAACCCGAGCCTTCCAAATGTCAGTACGCAATGCTAATCACTCGGCTTCCGCGGCCGCCTGTACATACAGTGGCGCACAGCCAAAGTGATGCAGCTGTGTAAGAAATAGGATAATGAATGCCAGTTAATAGGGGCAGTAGGGTGTTCCTTAAAATTCAACTTCAATACATTTTAATGCATACCTTCTAAAAAGTTTCGTATGGATCTAATATAGTATAGAAATAAATATTAGCCCGATTTATAAGCGATAACCCGTGCCGACTTGAGTTTTTAACTTGTCCATACAATTTGCGCGGGAGCAGCGCGGCGACCTGTTACTGCGAGTTTCAATTGTGATTTCATAAGTGATTTCTAACATTTTTAGTGCGTTGTTGTTCATTTTGTGAAAATGTTTGTGGAATTACAAAGTGATAAACAAAATATTTTCCTTATTGGACTGCCAAGCCACCAGATAAATAGTGCAAAATTACCATCTAATCGACAAGTTCTCAACGTTTTATTTTACAATATTCGTGAAGTCAAGCTGACTGTTAGTGAAAGTGCGAATCTTGTTATAAGAGAGTGCATTATATTTTGGGAAAAAGCCAGAATTCCTACGAAGGCAATCCCTAACTGCGTGAAGAAACTTATTCATTTATATCATGTTTGGAAGAGCTGCAAAAAAACTGTAAGAAAACTCAGTTGACTTTCAAGAATCGTGAAAACAATTTTGTAAAAGACCTTGATAACTTACTTGGTATTGCACATGCAGATACCTTTGACAGAATGAAGATAGAGGAAGACAAAGATTTCTTAAGGAAACAGAGAGAGCCAGGTCGACCGGAATGCTTAGGTGGAATCGACAAAAAATTGGCGGAGAAAGAAGAACGAGCTAGGCAGAGACGATTGGAAGAAGAGGAAAGAAAGGTAAAACAAAGAAAGTTATTGGCTGTTGCATCTACTTCTTCGATAGATAACTTGGAATGTCTTGAGAATTCGGATGAGGAACAGATTTCGAACTCTGAACTTAGTACTCAGATTCCTTGCCCTGAAAATAGTTGTAAGGAGGGACGAAAAGTTTAATAACTCCTAAACTGATAGCAGCTTTAGATCGATGGCAATTAAGCATAAGGAACTCAGTTTACATTCTCCATGCGGTTGTAGAAGCGCTTGGTCTGAACAGCGATGATTTCCCTATAAACAAATCCTCGATTCAGCGAATTCGTACTCAAGCGAGAAAATCCAGGGCAGAAGCAACAAAAACTGACTTCCAGAATAATTTTCCTGACGTAGTCACAGTTCATTGGATTGGATGTACGAAGTTCAAAAGAAGAACGCTTGCCAATTATTGCTTCATTTGACGATAGAGAACAGCTTCTTGCAGTACCGAAATTAGAGAGTTCTTCTGGAAAACATCAAGCTAAAGCCATTTCAACTGCTCTCTTTGACTGGACCCTCCATGACAAAGTACAGATAATGTGCTGCGATACAACAGCTTCCAATACTGGCCGTTTCAGTGGAGCTTGTGCTATTTTGGAGCAGACTTTAGAAAGGGAATTGCTGCTTTTTGCTTGTCGTCATCATGTTTATGAGTTGGTCCTTAAAGCTGTTTTTGAAACCAAGGTAAAACATATTACAAGTAGCCTAGATATTCCAATTTTCAAAAAGTTAAGAGATAATTGGAAAAATATAATATAATATAACATTGAGTCATCTCTAAATTTCGTTAAAGCTAAGACAAACATTACATCTTTGTTAAGTTTTTATTAGACTGAACTGGAAAAATCTTTTGTTAGAGACGATTACCGCGAATTGGTTGAACTATGCGTTGTGTTCTTAGGAGGAGACACAGAGAATAAACTAAAACTCAGGCCCCCCGGAGCTTTGCATCAAGCGCAATGGATGGCGAGAGCAATCTATTCTATAAAAATATGTTTGCTTCAATCGCAACTTAAAATTACTGCAAAGTACAAAAATGCTCTGCAAGATGTTTGTTTATTCATCGTCACCTGGTATACCAAACTTTGGCTCGAATGTACAATGGCAGTTAAGGCACCTAACCAAGACTTGTCCTTTTTGAAAGCTCTAAAAGAAGATGAAAAAGTATACGCGACAAGTTCCAAGGCATCCATAAGCAAGTTTATTCATCATTTATGGTATTTGTGTGAAGAAACAGTCATATTATCACTCTTTGATGAAGAAGTTGATACCAAAACCAAGACAAAAATGATTAATAATTTAATCAGAGACGAAAGTTCAGATTCCTCTAAACGCTATGTCCCATCGAAGGAAGAAATTACGCAAAATTTGCTTGGTAAGTACTTAATATTCTTGTTTCTTTTCCAAAGTTTTGTGGTTTAGTTTTTGCTTATTTTGATGGTTTTTTTCTTTATTTCAGATATGACGCTGGATGATTTTGTGACTCAAAGAAGCAAACGATTTCTATCTCGACTGCAGATCGACGACAGTTTTCTTCGGGAAGATGTATCTTCGTGGGATGACAATCTACTGAAGAGAAGTTACCCTAATTCATTATTATTATAATTTGTATTTAAATAAAAGTTTGTATTGATATTTTTTTAGTTTTACTCATATTTACTTTATTTGTTGCATTTTAATTAGTTTTGGACCAAACCAAAATGTCAGACCAAAACACCATTTTTTATTGACAGCCTAAGGGGCAGGAATACACATTTCATTTATGCTTTAAAAATTAAATAATTTTTGTTTATTTTTTGTAATAATACAACAAAAACAAACTTCACTATTATTCACTATGACTGCTTTCATAGGTTTGGGCATGGATTCTACTAACTTATTAGTGTAGTCATGAGCAATATTGTTTCTTTCTGTTTGTAGGGATTTTTTTAAGGCGGCTTGATCTCGAATCTCATAATTTCGAATCTCTCTCTCTAAAACTGACCACAGATTCTCAATCACATTCAAATCTGGACACTGTGCTGGGGTTTGTACTATGTGCGGACAGTTCCAAATGAGCCAACTGTGCACAATGTCTGATTTGTGTTTCGGATCATTATCTTGATAGTACCGAAGCCTGTCACGAATATTTATTTTTGAGGCACTCTGCAACAATTTTTTTTTTAAATGTCCAAATATACAGTCTTATACATAGTACTATTGATGAAATCCAAATTTCCAACTCCAGAAGACGACATGCACCCCCATACTATTACATGCCCACCATGTTTTCCAGTGCTACGTAAATTTTGCGGTTGTAACGCGGTATTTGGTCAATACTATTATGTCAAAACTATCTCATATTACACCAAGTTTGCTCGCGATTATAGCGGTATTTATTTTGCATTCAAAAATTGTCGACAAGACGCCACCGATAACGATAATTACATAAAAAAAACATAATATATAAATTTTTTAAAGCATAAATGAAATGTGTATATCTGCCGCTATTAATGGCATTCATGTTTTTTGGAAAATTTATTTAATTTTTCAATAAAACTTATCATACTATTTCTTATACAGCTTCATCACTGTGGCTGTGAGACACTGTACTTACTTTTAATAGAAAATAGAAACAGATAACATAAAACAAGTCATACTCACTCGTTCTGTCGGTCAACGAGGACGTCGAACCGCCGCACCAGATCAACGCCAGCACTGCAAACTGTCACCTGTGCCCGCAACGTGATACGAAGCTTAATGTTAAGTAAATCAAAACTGTAATTCAGTTCTAAGTTAGAATTCAATAAAATAACGTGTGCTAAAAGCACAAGAAAAAATTATTTTTTTTAATACAACTTAACGGAGATTAAGTTAACTTATGTAAATACATATGTATGCACGTACATTACCCCTTATAGAAGTATAAAAAAGTCCCGCTCTCTCCCCATATACACATACCAACACGTCCGCTACTCATTAACTGGACAAACATAAACACAAACAAATACATTTATATATTCCCGCTTGCATTTGTTTTTGCATTTCGGTCCCCACTAAAGGTATGCATGGATCTTCTGCATGCATTGTGTTGTACTTTATCCACCAAATCCTTAATTTGATTGGTCAGTGCTCTTTGCTTCACTCTAATAATCAAAACCTCTTCCGACAATACTCATTTTCAAATTTCGAAAGTGAGAACAGTGTTTGTTCTCTTCAAGCATATGCTTCTCTCTTATATTTTCAGCAAAGACACCGAAGTAACAGGAAACTAAGAAGTGCACTAAGCTCGTTGAAATGTTATAAATTTACAAAATATGATGAATAGCAATGGATACTGATGATGTAGTTTAATATATTTAAAAAGGAAAAAAGTTATATATACATTTAAATATAATGTTAAAACAAGAGAGAATTTTTTTTTCTTTCCGCACTAAATATTATAGTAAAACCAAAACCAAGGGAAGTGTCCATGTGAGGCAATAATTACCAAACATTGTGTATGTGTATTTATACAACAAGTATTGCAGCAGAGCATAAAATAGTTTTGCAAACTACTTTGAGTTTTAAGTTTTCATAAATTTATTTTATTGTGTTTAATAATTTCGTGTATAATTTTCTGGGCTAATGAAATTGCGATTCCCTATACTATTTATATGAAAAATACGCAAAAGAGGAAAAGTGCAGTGGGTGCAGTATTATACTGTGCAAAAAAGAGGCAATATACTAAGCAAGAGCGAATGTCTTGTACTCGCTCCCAAATCCATTCACGCACACCTCTAGTACCCACTCTTTCCAGAGTATTTTTAGTAAGTGAGAGATATACATACACACAAACGAACATAAGCTCGGCTTAGCCGCTGCGCTCATTAAACTGCACCCAGCAGTGAGTTCCCAAGATATTATCATAGAACCCAGAAAAATAAAATGGATAAAGTGGAGTCCAATGAAGTTGTGACAGACTCTAAAAATAATGACATAAATAACAAAAAAAGGTAATGAAATAATACAATAATTAAATAAACAATCGAGATTTAAATAAGTATATTAAAACAAATTTTAATTGTGTATAAAACGCAATTAGGGCTGATTCACTTAGCTAAAAGCTGCCGTGGTATCCGCTACAATGACTTAATAAAAAATATAACTTCTATTTAATAATATGTTTATTTACAATTTTTATGAAAGCCAACTTGCCGCGATGGGAATACTGAGATTCGATCATCACTAAGCCGCCAATACGAGGTGAAGTTGCACACACGCTCAGCCCGACGAGACTGACCGAGTCTAGATCGGCACTGCGCGTGTGGCGTGCGCAGGAGATGTTGAATCGTGGGTTCCGGAGCTGTAGAATTTTGCAAAGATGGTCGTTAGGGTAGGTGAGCATCGTATCTGTCGTTGTAGTCGTTGATGCTGTAACCACTTGAGGTTGGCCCCTCGCTGTTGTTTGCGTTGTTCCTTCCCTTAGTTCTGCCATTAGCGTTTCTTCTTCTTCTTCCACCTGCTGGCCCATGTGAGCTCGACGACGTCATTGTCCGTCTCCTCGAAAATGTCGGGGCTCAGGCCGTACAGCATAGTGTGGTGGTTTTCACCGCAGCTCTTACACCGAATAAAGCTGGAGCACTTCTTGTCTTGTTGCGAGGGTAATTCGTGCAATAAAGGTTTGACGCCGATCTTCGGGAGACATCTGGCGAAATTGTGGACACCATCTCAGCTGATTGTTGTCGAGGCACAAGTGGCAGATATTTGACGACAATTACTATAGTTTAAAGGAAAGTAGAGGAAGAAAGAAAATAAATATTCATTAGTTTGCTTGCTGTAATTCAACCGATTTAACTACTGGTCTACTGATGTTTCCGCGTTAGGTTTCAACGCCAACTTTATGGTCAGTGCCTGGATATATCTTTTCTGCCCTGGTGGACTTACTACTAGACGACGACTAAGTTTCTGTGTGAATGTTTCCATTTGTACCGCCTTTGACTGGCGTTTTTTGGTTTTGCTTTCGGAAAAGAAGGTTTTTTGCTAAGTGAGCTCTCACTTCAATTAAAGTGCCTCGGCGTGATATCGCATGAGGCTCCAATATCAATTCCTGGAGGTGGAAGTTTAAATTCTGGCGGAACGACCTAACGACCTACTTAATTGCGGATGGTTTTTTTCTTCATAAAGTCGTTCACGTTTCCCTTCTTTAACTGTCATAAATCTTTTCTAGAATGGGGTTGTGACCAGCCCGGTCATGCCGAATACTGTTCGCTGTGCCATGAGTGAACCAATAATGTTGGATTCAACCCCACTTTACATAACCTTGGGGTACAAATCTACGCCTATTAATATGTCTATGTGCTGACTCTTATACAAACTAATGCCCGCTAGAGGGATAGATGGGAGGTATTTTCGCATTATCCTGCTGACTATTTGGGATGAGGGGAGTCCCAAGATTTAAAGTGCACACTTTATGTACTTTCTCGGACACGGCATCATTTAAACCAGACACATTGCCGCTAATACTTTTACTCGGCAGACTTAGTCGTTTTCGTGAATTCTCCAAAAAGAAAGCTCTTACAGATCTCGTATCTATTATCGCCCTCTCTGTAAACATGTTACTATTGTGAAAAATCGTTACCACCTTAGTTCCTAATAGCATATTTTGCTTTGCGGAAGCACTGCTTATCCCATTTGCCTTGATCGATACCGTATTGATTTTTGTTGACCTCTCTTGGTTCTTGGAATTGGTTGGTTCTTATTCCTCTTGCCCTTTATGAAGCATTGTTTGACTCTGCTTTTTTGTGTTTTAAGCATGTGTAATTGGTCTTACAATTTTTCAATTCATTAGCATCAGATAAGCAATTAAAGCAAAAATGAAGTTTTCTTACAGCATCAATTGCTTCATTTGAATAGGTCAGTCTCTACTCCACTTCCCGGAGAGAAGAAGAGTTTTATTGTTAATCTACGCAAAATGCCAAATATGTACCAAATGTCAAGTAAATCAACAATATCAATAAATAAATAGTGTTTTGCCAGGCAAGGCAAGTGACAGTGTAAAGGCAGTTGAAGCCTTGTGAAGAATAGTGAAAGTTTTAAACCAGTCGTAGCTTATTTAAGGGCAGTCGAAGCCCAGTGCAGAATAGGTTTTTCTTATATTCTAGTGTCGGAACAAGAGTTTGGTGTCGGCATCATCCGGAGGAGCACCGAAGCCGAGACGCACACCTGATCAAGCAACCGCTAAGTATCATTTTGTTAACTTATTGTTTGCGTACGTTTTGTCGTGCCGATAGTGTCACCACCCTCGTGACGTCCTTACCAATCCTTCTAGCATCCCACACCCAGAGCCCAGTCATGCAGGTGGGTTGACGTTACGCCCGGCAGCACGGGAGTGGTGCGAGTGGGCTCGTAACCAGTTCGGTTGGACCACACCTCGGGTGCACCCAAAAACATATTTTGTTTTATTGTTTTGTAGTCTGATTTTGCTCTGCTGTCTAGTTATTATTGTCCTGCAATTTTTGTTTGTATCGGCGTTAGTAAATTCACTTGGTGTTGTTTTTCTCCCCGTTGGGTTTTGTTAGTGTACTTAGCTCTTGACCCACGCCGTCTTCGCTAAGCTGGCCGGTCGCTTTGTTAGTTTTTTTGGG